ACCTATGTCTCATGAAACTCATAGGCTTGGAAATAAAAACAAGATAAGCAGGTAATCGCTCATTAATTCTGTCAATTGAGCCTACCTCATTGTCATGACCTTTCGAATGTCTATCTATTAGTCACTTAAGATCGATGACACCACTCATCTAGGCAGACAACCTCATCCCTCAATTCCTCTCTTCGGCGTCTTACATCTGCGAGGGGTATGACCAATCTTCCCATAACAAGCACATACTACCCTCGCCCACCGTTCTCGCCCTCTTCCATTCCTTCGTCCAGTTCGACTTACAGCCGACGATGTTCCCTTGTCGTCACACTCCTTACCAAGATCAGATGCAGTGTGCGACAGGGTCATACCAGCTTCTCCTTGAACTCTTTGCTCTTCTATTCCCTTCTCGCTTGGAGCGTCAAGCGTCCTCTCACAGGTATGAGCTGCATCAGCTCTCACTCTAGCCGGTATCTCTTTCCTCCCACCTCCCGACTCATTTTTCTTCTCTCTTCTCCATCTGTGATTTCGCTTGACGATCTCAACGTCTTTCTGAGTTCCATCTTTCTTAGCATCAAAGGTGCCTACCGCCGGATCAGTAGACCCCTTTTCAAGCTCACTCTTCTCACTATCTAACACTTTCCTTCTTTTCCTCGCTTCCCATAAAGTATGGCAGAGGTACTGGTCGAAATCCTCCTATTCAAGGTTCTCTCAGATCTTATCCCGGACTAGTCTCCCCCATGTTCCACGAATCAAATCTCGATGTTCTGCATTCGTGAAGTTCATGAGGAAGACAAAGCATTTGTCATGTTCTGGCAGTGCCCAGACCTTACGCGATGCAAGCTTATAGTCTATCACGAATTGCCCAACTGACACATAACTATACCGATCTATCTTCTCAAGGTCGTCTTTGGTCAGTTGTTCCTCACCTAGCCGGTACTTATTCCACATGTCATCATAGAACTTCCTCCACGATGATCCCGCTCTTCTAACCAACCCACTAACTTCACCCTTCAAACCTATATAAATATACTTTATCATTTCTTCCAGCATCTGTCCCTCACTCCATTTGCAGTGGGACGCTATCTGTTCAAACTTGTTGAGGAAGTCAGAAACATGATCGCCTTTGAAGAAGTCGATCTCAACCTTGGGCAGGTTGTTTCGCTCCCAATCTCGCCGTTCCAACAGATAAGCGAGTTTCTCGGCCTCGATCTTTCCTTGAGAGCCCTCCATCTCGAGCTCCCTCGACCCCACCACCTGTTGAACAACAAGGAGCGGCGTTAGGGTCGAGATCCGAGAGGAGCTACGTGACTAAATCAAATATAAGACATATCTCACTAAGTTATTTCGACACTTCATTATAAAAACACACATAAGAATCTATCCAAAATAATGACGATACCGAAGAGAGTTTTTAGATAAATATCCATCAAAAATAAAACATAAACATTCACTGATAGATCCCTTCAATCATAACTCAGGCACTAACCCCTTAGGATTGCCATTATCAGGGTAACATGCGATGTACATATGTCACATAAGTGGATACTCCAAACACGAATACAAAAAGCAGTACAACCCATGACAAATAACATATACTGATAACGATAATTTTTACATGACAAACTTGAATTACTTGTAAGGGTTGTAACTGACCGACACAATATGCTTTATAAACAACCATATAAACGCAGCTCAACTGCCAGTTATATAACAAGATAACTCTCGAATCTCGATAACGTATTTTCGTATCCTATAAGGCAGAAGTAGGACTGGCAATGAGTAAATAACATGATACAAGTGTTACCCCTTCAACTCTTTAAGCGAAGCGTATATTACAGAGGAGCGGTGTAATCCTTATGAGATAACATCTCGACTCCTGAGCCCTGCTCTAAAGATCGAGCCTCACCGCATCCCTCTCTGATTTCAGCGCTTGTTCCTTACTAATCCTATCGTGGCCAGACGGACAACCTCATTCATACTCATCCACGCAAACGAATAGTGCATTCGCGCCTTTACAAGCATGGTGGCCTTGCCTAACATGAAACAAACCTAGGTCGCTACTCCAGGACCGCTCTTGTTAAGCAGTAGTTATTCCACTCAACCATGACAGTTTCAGCAAGGGTAACAAACCCTTTCCTCCTCTCTTAACAGATAATGTAGTTACTCTGCCAGTACAGGAAAGACAACAGCACCCCACTAATGGACAAGGAACATAGTTCCGGCGTGGGTCTTACTATCAATTTCGAGACTAATAACTGCTTCCTTGAGCCTCATCGAGGTGGTAACAACTCAAGAATGCACTTCCATCGAGGATAAATTATACACGCCGACTAACCCCTTCTTGGAAGAACCATCTTCCACCGAAGCAAGTCACCCCATTCACCCTTGGTCCCATCATGACTCCCATGCCATGCGTGGGTTCCATGCAGTACCTATGTCCTAGTGGAAGGCAATCCATGCATACGCCATCAATCAGACATCAGACAAAACACAATGAAATCACGTATATAGAGACAACCAAACAAACCATCATAAATATCATACACACATATATCACATATATTTAACACATAGGCCTCTCTTCGGACTAGCCAAACCGCTATCCTAGTGGCCACTACTTCTCGAGACTTATTGATAGTTAGCCAGACAGCCCGCAAGCGACTCAGATCATCACCAACTCACACTATCGAAGAGTCTAACCGTCGTACTGGCCGTAGTACCTATCGCATTACATCTCGGCCTGAGCTCAAGGAAATATTTTTACAATTAAACTCCTTACTTCGCACTTTATCAGTCATCCCCTCATCCATGCTGCTCTCATATCGACAACTTTCTCTAACACAGGGGTCATATGACTAAGGGGGATGCTTCATCTTAACTTGACTATCCCCCTAAGGCAGTATTTAATACAACAATCACGTAGTGAGTCAATCACCCTTGGATTCCAATCATAGGCGTACTTAGCAATGCCAATGCCACCTTACTCACTCCTAGCCGAATCGAGCCTTCAAAGCATTACCCAGACTCCTCAATCATTAAAGTCAAAAAGCCTTTCAACTCCATTTAACTGCCCACTAGGCAGTGCTCACAACGCATAGTCAAGGCGCTTATCGATCTCAAACGCCCCTTACTGCATCACTCAAACCCCACTCGCGGAATTAACCCTCACTTCATATTTTATCCAAGAACGTTTGCAACCAACCCTCCGTCTAAACCAATCAATAAGGCAGAAGTGGTCATTTCGCCTGGATCCTCAATCCCCTTCAAATCTAGGCTCGATCTGTTAAGGACTTCTCAGTCTTTCGACATCTCCAACGATAGTTAAAATATTAGCCGATCGCTCATACAAGCTTAACAGAAAACTTCCTATTTGCCTATTTTCTCACTTTCATACCCGGATGTCGTTCCACCAGGGACAACGGTAGGCAACCGTTATCCCCGGCAACGGCGCCACCTGTCGTGCGCATCGGTCCGGCACCGCACGTGGCAGCGCGGGACCCTCTCAGCCGCGTCACGCAGGAGTTAGACCAACCTCGTTACAAACACACAAATGGAGCTTCCGCAGGCCGCTCCGGCCGAGTGCGCCAGCCATACCTCTCACGAGACCCTACGACAGGATAGGGCCTACGCGAGGCACAACTTACCTCCACCTTACGGGAGCTGTCACCTCCCTTTGGTGGGCGTATCCCCGCCGAGCTACTAGTCCACAGTACGAAAGCTAATCAGTTGCAATCGCAGAGGTGGACCAGCCGAGGGCGTTTCTCATTCGCTGTAACATAGGGGGCACGCTGTCAGGCGGCCACAAGTAGTGCGCCGCCTGAAAACGACATTTTTGGGACTTAGGCTCGAGGGCAAGTCCGTGTCTTGAGGGTACTTTGGTTTGACCAGACAGCAGAAATTAGAGGAACCCAGGGTATCCCTGATTCTGGGTACACTGAACCTTACGACTAACCCTTAGAGATAGCAAGATAGGTGGGCGCACTCGGTGTGTCTAGAGGCCGCCATTTCCGGTCGTTCAGAGGGCTGGAGCCGGTTTGGCCTGCCGCGAGGAGGCATCGCGGGAGCAGACCTCGCCGAGACATTTTTGCGGCATACAACCAAGGCCGAAGTGAGGCTTCAGATTTTGCCTATTTTAGTACCGTAATTAAAAATGGAAAAAAAAGAATTAAGACCAGGAGGGGAGCAGAGAAGAACATGATCCCCCTTATTTTCTTCATTTTCCACGACATTTAATCTTAGGGGGAATTCCCTTGTTATTTTATGTTTCCGGCAATGAAATTAAAAACATAGAAAAATATTAAAAATCGTAAAAGAGAAAAGAAACAAAACGAAATCGGTCATTTATTTAAATTTTCTTGGAATTTAATTTTGGCGGACTTACGATTAATTTATTATTTCCAACGATAAAATTAAGAAAAGGGGGAACGCATGATTATCAGGAGGGAGGCCTAATTTCGCCACGATTACCCTCCATCAGCCCTGACCCCGGATTGATTATTTTTCCTGGATTCTAACGGTTCTCACTACTACCGATGGTTGAGGTTCCTTGCGTCGCTCTCCCTGGTTTGCCTGATTACTAACATTACCACAGTCGGGGTGTTCTGAGAGCTAGAGTCGCATGGACGGTATGGGGTGGTGCTTCCTTAGGGTCGACAGTATGGTATTTGGCACGGCACGGATATGTGGGACAGAGAGGCTCCGTATTGTTACGGAATGGCTATAACCTACGGTATCCGACATGCTTCAGGTTTGGTATGGGCTCGGCGTCACTCTGTTTCAG